ATAAAAGGTAGGGTTGTTTGAACCAGAGTTTTAGGGGAGAGAGAAGTGTGATGGGTGGCAGATGTAAATTAGCAGGTCTGAGGACTGGAGGTAGTTAGGTTGGGAAAGGGGTGAAGGATAGCTTCTAGGTTCTAAATAGTGAAACTAGATAAACTGTTACTGGTAAAAGGGAAGCTCTGGGTTTAGCCTTTGACGACAGTGTGGTCAAGGGAACCATTTTTGACCATGTTCTGAGACATGTTAAGGCGTCCAAATGAAGTCATTAGACAGCTGAATGCAGAGACCTGAAGTGCCGAGAAGAGGTACAGGCCAGAAGAGAGTTAAATTGGGAGCAGTTTTGACACAAATGTTAGTAAGAGCCAAGGGAAAGAGTAAGAAGAGAGGAAGAATATGGCAACAGAGGAAAARGCCCTGAAATATTTAGGAAGGTGCTCTTTTGTCCCAACCTTCCATGAGTGCAACAGGTAACTGCATGCTGCCAACTTAGTGGAAGCATGATTGAGGCGGGAGAGGCTGCATCCAGGCAACACTATAAGGTAATGACCGAGTGTGATTGTGATGCTGATGCTTAGGAATGAGTCATCACTGGCCTCTGAAACCCTCCCAGCAAGGGACTCGGCAGTCAATTCATGGTTGCATTTTATGACAGGTGTCAGAAGTTCCAGGGATAACATCCTCTTTCAAACACGTGGATCTGACCTATATACTGCAGGCCAGCCTGTTTCTGAAAACGGTGAGTGACAACATGGCCTGTAAGGAAAACCAAGTGATTTTTCATAAGAATATTTGAACCACTGGAACGTGATCACTTGGTGAAATTAGGTCCCAGAGGTATGGGTCTTTCTTTAAGCATGAAAAATCATTTTGGCCTATAAAACTCAGGGAGGGTTATTGGCAACTTAACTGTTCTAACCATAGGATGGCTTCTGCATGCTGTGATTTTGAGTAAAATTACAACAGCACATGCCCACATGGCTCACTCTTGCTCCTGCTGGAAGAGGGGATCTCCTGTACAGGTGATACACTTGATGGTGTTAATTTTTTTTCTAGTTTATATATGCATCTACGTACTGCAGGACATCTGCAAATTTGAAAACTTAAGATTTAAAATATCTTGAAATAACATAAGGCTGATAGACTGATGAGAGACTGGGATGCTGACAACACAAAACATCTGATGACACACCACATCCTTTGTTTTTGGGGATAACAAACCTTTTAATTGTTCCTGGAATTAAACTGTCCTGAGAGAAACTGGACAGGTTAATTAGCTAATAATCAACCCCAATTTAGATGATCATTTAAAGACACTTTGACGTTGGAAATCGGCATTTCCAAACTTTGTGGATATTTACACAAACATCATGAGTGTAATTAAAACAAAGCTGCCACTGTTATACTTCATAAACAGCACCTAGGAAGAGGCAGAAGTCCAGGGGAGGAGAGTCCCTGGATCTTGTTCTATACGTCATAGCATGGTATGAAAGCTATGCAAAAGCTGCTGTGCTCCTCCTATTTAAGATGAAAATACCTACCATCAACACTATTTTAAACAAACAAAATCAGGTTAATTCAAATAAATATCCTTTATTAAAGAAAAAAAGGAATATTGTTAAGCACCAAAACTGTATGTTGTTACACTGCATGTACAATAAGAGAAAGGTGATTGCAATACTTGGTGTACAAGTACTTAACTCTGAAGTCATGAGTGTAAAAAACATGAAATATAAAGCAATACAATAATTACAATGCAGAAAAGTTGCACTAAAGAGGAAAAGGCAATGTTCAAAACAATTATTGGAGATTTCATAGTATTGCTATAAATGCTTGCTTAGTATTTTCTTTGTACTTTTAATACTTCAGAATGTTAACTGAGCATATTGAAGTATTGTAAATTTGCAAGAGATGGCATTTACAATACACTGTGCACACTGTCCATATAATGTAATGATAAAGCCATCCTTAAAAGCCAAGCACAATGTGCTAGTGTTTTGCTTCTACCTTTATAATATTGCACAAAGCTAGTAAATGGTGAATCAATTTGCCATTATAATTTTTATTTACCAAGAATGGCTAAAAAAAAAAAAAAGGAATGTCAGTTTCATTCATCATAATGGACTTATTCATGCAAAATGATCTGTGGCCTTCCATTTTTCATAAACTACATATTATGGTTTCACACTTGGCAAGATATACAGTACAAGGAGAGATTCAGTGCGCCAGAAGGGATTCTGTAAAAGCCAAATAAGTTAGAAGTCACTATATGGATTGCACTTTCTACCCTTCTTTGTACACAAATGAAGGGGAAATGCCTTGTGATCATGAAGACTTCTTAAAACCAATGTACTTAATATGGGGAAAGCTGGAATAATTTGTTATACCCTTGATAGTTAACCATAGAACATGCAAGTTAAAAGAAAATTCCTGTGTTAAAACTCAACTCTATGACCAATATTCACCCATATCTTTTGCTTTCATCTAACCATCACTTTTCAAAGTCTTTCCTACCTGCTATCAACTTCCGATACTGATCTTATTTGTACCTGAATTAAAAACAAAAAACCTTCCTCTAACCCTCAAAACAAATGACYGCAACTCTCTAACATGCCAACCTCAGAGGTATCCTCTGTACGTRCACATTACAATAGCAGAATAAGCGTCCTTGTAGCAGGGGCAAAACATCTGAAATTTGGAATTTAAGCAATTAAATTGTACAAATGCCAAGTTGTACATTTACTGTAGGCAAAATGAATTTTTAGAATAAACACCCTTGAAATAAGTCAATGGGCAAACAGCATACATGTGCATGCGCACACACACACAATCCAGACTCCCTCCCACCTTTAAAAACCTCTGTTTACATACATGATAGTTTAGGCAACAATATAAACTCATTTTGTAGGAAAAACCTTTAAATTACAATGTAGKATAAAAAATAACATTGCTTCATTTTACAAAGCAATTAGGCAGAGACTCTTCTTAATGTGCTTTAACTAAAGAGGACTTTTCAGCAACATCAAAAATTACTACTGACTTATTCAGTAGCACTAAATAAATGCAATACACCCAGCAGTAAGGTACTTCTACTTTCTTACCCCTCTTCAATTTAAAATAAATCTTGCTGGTCAATTCTCTTAACATTAGCATAGTTCTTTTTCTACTGTAAGCAATAAATGGGAAATAAATATCTTTAAAATGCACATTTAACTTTATATCACCATTTATATTCAGTGCAAGAATTAGGTAAAAYTAAATGTTTCAGTTTTCATATCCAATAGTTGTATTTTTACCAAAGTGTCTGCAACCGATTTAAAATGCTTACATGGTATTTTGTTTTGTTTATAAATAACCTGGCAAAGTACAAGAAATTTCAACTCCCTGATAAGGCCTGCAAGGACCCAATAGTATTTACAGGTTGGTATCTGGTGTTAAGTGCATAATAGTTAAATAATAAAGCTGAAAAAAAAAATCCTTGTGTTTGTAAAAGGAGAAAAAAAAAGGTTTCTTTATGCTWAAAAGCATTGAATTAAATAAATACACTCAGTGAATGTAATTTAAAAATGGAGTCAACTGGGTGTGGTGGTGCATGTCTATAATCCCAGTGACTCAGGAGGCTGAGGCAGGAGGTTCAAAAGTTCAAAGCCAGCCTCAGCAACTTAGTGAGGTCTTAGGTAACTTAGCAAGACCCTGTCTCAAAATATAAAATAAAAAGGGCTGGGAATGTGGTTCAGTGGTTGAGTGCCTTTGGGGTTCAATCCCCAGTACCAAAAAAAAAAAAAAAAAAAAAGAGTCCTCTTAGAGAATGTATAAAATTAAGTTGTATTGTTTACTGAACTCATTCCATATAGTAATGCTAGTGCCCATTCCCTTTGTGTTCCACTCAAATAAGAGTATGATTCTTAGTGTCCACAATGGCTATTTATGCTTTATAATTTGACATGGTATGACACAAAAAAAAGTGACCCCCCCCCAATAAAATGCTCAGCAAAGTTCCATATTCTTTCTGTGGAAATACCACACCTTATTGACTTATGACAGTCTACCATTATTCTTAAAGATGCATTTTACAGAAATCGGCTCCAAAATGAAGAACTAAGGAATGATGGTTTTTTTATCCTGCTAACAAACTCAAAGAGCCTATAAAATATACTTCAAATAAACAGAACAAGAGTTCACTCTTTAAAAATTCCCACTCGTCAGGCATTACCTCATACTGCTAAACCACCAACTAGGATTTCAAAGCATTCAGAATACCTTTCCTCTACATCTACATTGGTCCTATATGTATAATTTTGATTGCATTAGTAGGGGAAATATCTGAAATTGACATTCAAGTGAGTGGTTAACATGAACCTCAAAACATCTCCAAGTCATCATCTACTTGTTTCCCCCATTTTAAATAAACTGCAATTGAGACTAAATTGGTAAATTAACTTCTAAATTGACTCAGCATAAGCAAACAGCTGTTTGTGAATTCAGAAATGATACATTAACAGAAATACAACTGTCAAATATTCTGAGCAACACAAAAAATACAGGCAAGTTTGGAACTGGAAACGTGATCATTTGTAAGTACCATAACAAAGGAAAGGAAAAAAGAACATTGATCACGCTTAGCTTTTGTAGGGTTCTGATACTGCTTTAAAATGGGGGTTCAATTGATACTCATTTTAGACAAGTGGACCCTCGTTCTTTTAACTCCAATGGTATGTGACCTACAGTAATTCGTAATTTTGTGGAAGTAGCCATGTGAATCTCTCCCCCCAAGTGCTGACTATGGGACRCAGGGCCTCATACATGTAGGTAAGCACTCTACACTGAGCCACATCACCAGCTGATTACAAGGTGGCTAAAGACAGAGSACAGGAGCCTTTTTAAAGTGAGATTGCTTTATAATAGAATCCCATAGTACTAATGGGTAGCAATTCTCTCAACATGAAGGGTCCAGTGTTTTTTGTTGTTAATTTAACATTACATCCTTCTGTATTTTTCCAAAATTGAAAAAAATGAATAAAAGTTAGGTTATGAACAAGCATCCAAAACACTTGACACATGAAATACTGATACWCACACACAAAATGGATGGATTAGATGGATACATGTTTTTTTWAAAAAAGTTTTCTAAATTTAAAAATKTGCAAATACATTAATCTAACGAWTGGCTCTTTGGGTTAAAAGCATACTTTAATGCTTTACTGAAGTTATAAAGGATATGTACCCACCCCTACTAAAGTTTATATATATTAAATGTGTACTACTAATCATCCCAGACAAGACMCRGGACTTATGCTGGGAYTAGAACCAATGTATCATGAAAATGTTGTGCAGAAATTCCTAGTCTCATCAATAAATATATTACTAATGTTTGAGCAAAAAGATTTTGTTTTATATAACCCTCTGCTGCTGGGAATTTTTGTTAATGAAAATAATATTCAATAACAAAGGCTCTCTCCCAATGTTCCATTCAGAGCATTTCAAGATAGTGAAATGCCAGCCAAAGAGGCTTTCCTGTCTACTTTCTGCATCTTTGTGGAGCACATGCTTTACACTGTGGAGCATAACAATAAAAACTTTTAATGGTGCATGATAAAGAGTTATGATCTACATCCCTATTAGTGAATCCTCCTTTTTGATTCTCAATAGGAAAGTCATGAGTTATGGTGATCAAGCAACAGTTCAAACAAAAAGATTAAAAATAATTTGAAACATTATCAAATTACAAAGTATTGCTTCTCATAAACAAGGATGCACATAARATTCAAACCATTATAAATTTAGAATTATGAAAAGCTATTTAAAAGCATGGAAATTTTAACTTCAAACYCTTACAAAGTGTAGACTGTGTAGCCTTCTAAAAATATGCCTTGTTAAATGTTATCATGTTTGGTACACAAATTAATAGGTGTATCTCCACTGATCTTTCAGATGTTGAACATCATTTATGAAAATTCCTTTGGAGATGAGAACTGTTAAAATTTTTAAGTACATTTCCATCTGATTATAATTCCTGACTTATTGCTACCATGATAAACTTCTTTTTCAGAATGTAGCACTATTTCTGTAAGCTGATATGGAAGAAGCTCTGTGTTTTCAGCAGATGTCTTTCCTTTCAGTACACTGAAAGATGGATCTCAAAGCAGTCCCAAAACAGCTCACAGTAGATCTCTTGTCAGCCCAGTGTTCTTCCAACTCATAGCAACTCCCAGTTTAACTGGCCACTACAAATTATATATATATATATATATATATACATATATATATATATATATGGATGGGGGAAGGGAAGGTGCATAAAAAACAGCCATCTCCAGGAGGCCTTTCTTCATCACAGATAGGAACATTGCACATTTAAAAATCATCTTAACCATTATCTATTGGAATGACTATAAAAGTAATAATTTGCCAATTGTGCTTCCTTTTTTTTTCCCCCATACAACTGAGTCAATATACTTTGGGTCTAATGGAATCCAACTGTGGAACCAAGAGCTTCAACTTTTGTTTTCCAAAAGAATCCGAACCAATCTTCATCTGTACGTATTTTTCTTCTTTAAGTTACCTGTTGGCAAACAAAATACAGTGAATTAAAAAAAAAAAGATATTCTCTCCTCCCTCTCTCTCTCTAAATATATATACAAGCATACACACAAACCTTTTAAAAGCATATAATAAAGCAAGGCTCAGTGCTGCACACCATTTACACTTACACTATCTAGGATCAAAGATAGGTAAAAGATGGTGGATTCAAAAAAAGAAGCATATAACAAAAGAAAAGGATTGGGAATGTAGCTCAATGTAGAATGCCTCTGGGTTCAATCCCTAATACTGACACATAGACACACACACCTAAAAGTGACTTCACATGTATCTGAGCTCATACGTTATCTGAGAGTGTTTCTTTTAACATTGTACAACATGCAGAAATCTCCACCCCCMAAAAAAGACAATGAAAAACCCAGCCTCCAACCACTCCAGTGAARTTTTAAGCAGGTTTTTTTGTTTGTTTTGTTTTCTTTGAAGTGGCACCTGTTCTTCAGCCTAAATGAATAGCCAGAAACTTTAAATAACACCTCAGCCAGTTGCTATACATAATGCTCTTACAATGTCTATATATCAGAGAGGATTCTGGTCGGGTTGGAGAAGACAAATGAGGGTATGCCAGCCTGAGCCGCTGTACCAGCTCTGCCTACTATAGGCCAGTTGTAAGAAATAAAAAACAAAATATACAGATCTGTGAAAGCCATGYTGTGGCACTAACCAATAATGCATCCAGTTGGTAGTTTTAGTGCAGGTTTAAGCAGCAAACTGAGAAGCTACAAGCAAGAGACAATTTAATAAGTAGCAAGAACTGTGAAGTGGGGGATAATCTGCAAATAACTAGAAAAGTTTCCAGATGYACCTGAGTTGCTGGACATTAACATAATGAGCAAGATGTCTAGATTTCTAAATATCTGCATTCATATACAAGACATAATGTACACATGCACAAGCAAAAATGGTTTCAAATTATCTTGGAAACCAAAAGTGATATGTCATACAGTTCTACAAAGTGATCATAATTAGGGTCTCTACATAACAGGAAATAAAGCAGGGAAATGATAGTATTGAACATTGCTGAATCATATTGAACACTGCTGAATCATATCAACAGAAATWTTTTTTTCACCCTTCTGTTAAGTTTGGTGCATAAGTGCATAGGGACAGCATGGAGAGGTAATAGATGAATATTTTCCAGATAAACCCAAGCTCAAAAAGAACAAGTGATTTTTTTTAAGCATTTTTCACTTATAATCAATATTTTAAAACTGACAGTTTTTGGGGTTTTTTTTTTGGTACTACATCTCCAAAATCCAGATGTATACCTGCATATCCGTATCAACTCAGTAAGAATCTCTAACTCAAGAGTATGCATTTTATTTTTTTTGAGAGAGATAATTTTTAATATTTATTTTTTAGTTATCGGCAGACACAACATCTTTGTTTGTATGTGGTGCTGAGGATCGAACCTGGGCCGCACGCATGCCAGGCGATCGCGCTACCGCTTGAGCCACATCCTCAGCCCCAAGAGTATGCATTTTAAATAAGCTCACCAGGTTAGCTCTTAAGATCAAACATGTTTAAGAATCACTGTGCTGATAAGCACAGTGCTGTAATTCCAGCTACTTGGGAGGCTGAGATAGCAGGATCACAAGTTCAAGGTCAGCCTGGGTAACTTAAAAAGACCCAGTCTCTCTCTCTCTCACAAAAAAAGAAAGAAAGAAAGAAAGGGCTGGATGTGGAAAAAAAATCAATGATAGAGTGCTGTCTAGCATGTTCAAGGCCACAGATTCAATCTCCACTACTGAAAATTAAAAAGATTCATTTTGCTAACAAAAAAAATTATCCTTAATTTTTTTGGTGGGGGTGGGGTTGTTCCGGATATTGAACTCAGTGACACTTCACCACTGAGCCATATCCCCAGCCCTATTTTGTATTTTATTTAGAGACTGGGGCTCACTGGATTGCTTAGCACATCACTGTTGCTGAGGCTGGATTTGAACTCATGATCCTCCTGCCTCAGCCTCCTGATCCACTGGGACTTCAGGCATGCACCACTGCACCCAGCCTTTACCTACTTCTTCCAGAACTAAAATATTCCCTGTTTTGGTAAATGTTGTGAATCCCATAGAGACATAATTCCATCAAGAGAATATTATAATGAGTAGAWCATGTTTGCATATTCTGTACATTTTGCCCAAATTGCTGTATTTCCGCTGCATTAATTATCAGTTCTATATACTATTTAATTTATAGCACATTATCTTTATTGATTTGATATATTTAATATAATTTGTGTCACATTACAAACTAATTACCTTATTAAAAAGTAGACTACAAAATAGACTACAAATATTACTTAAGATAACGTCACATTGTAACCAAAAAGATGATCTTACAATATATTGAGGGGACTCTAGACATGTTATACATGTGTGTGTATATATATATAAGTTGCAGCTACTATATATATATATATATATATATGAAACAGGACAATTACATTATGTGTGTGTATATATAAACACACATATACATACACACACACACACACACAGTAGCTGCAAACTAGTCTAGTCAATCCAGTAAATGCAATAAGCCCGAGTAGTTTAAAAGGTTTATAAATCTAATCAGACTATGCAATGATTTTTTTTCTAGATTGATACTAGAAAACTTTATAGGCTGCAAAAAGACATCAAAACTCAGAATATATAATGGAAGTACTTCAGTTGAAAAAGTCCTCCTTTAAAAAAAAAATTAAAAAAATAAAATAAAATAAAAAAAAAGAAAAAGTCCTCCTTTTGTTTAAGGCAGAAGTAATACTGTCCCTTTACTTGGGATATAAGTRTTCTACAGAAAATTTTAGTGAGCAAGATATAAAAATCATAGCATATACATACCAATAATCCTTAAAAAGTGCTTTTTGTTACTTTGGTTTCTAGAAATTTACAAACTTATGATCCATACTATAAGCTTAAGACTCAATAAGGAATACCAGACCCCATTCTGTAATACTGAATGCTATTAAAGACAATAGGCCATTTACTTGTCAGTTTTCCCAGTCTGTGCAAGGCAAAGCCTCCTCTTCATCCTCTGACTCAGGGGATGCCTCTTTAATTCTTCGTAGAGCTTCATGGATGCTCCGTGTTAGAGGGTCTGTATCAGGCAGAAGTGTGAAGGATTCTCTCAAAACTTCCTTCTGTACCTTCTTCAATTTTACCCCTTTCCTTATTTGTGCCAAGATATTATTACTATCATCTTCATCAGGAAAAGGAGGCAGAGTTCGCTGTTCAACCTTTTTCAAATGAAAACTACCACGCTTCAAGGATGCTAGAACTTCATCCATAGGTGAGCTCACTTTGGAAAATGAAACAGAATGATTACATTAATAAATATTTCACAGAAAGGCCCCAGATTAAAATGTAATATGCAAATGGCTTTACATAATGTTTAAAGTAAAGTTCCTTGTTATTTTTAAGACATATTGGACATGCAATAAATTGTACATACCTTTCTCTACTTCTTCACTTTTTAAACAAAGAATATACCTCAATACCAAAATGTGAGAAAATGTTACAAGATTTTGYCAATGTCTCCCAGCCCTTTCTTATGTGAATACTGTTTTGTTCTCTTTGTTTTTGTGGTGCTGGGGACCGAACACAGGGCCTTGTACATGCTAGGTAAATGCTCTATCACTAAAGTACTCATGGTCTCTATATCCTAGACCATGAGTACTTTATCTCATCTCCCAGGTTTAAAATCAGATTTTCTCTAGCATAGAAAGAGCCACCAAACAGGTCAAGTCACTTCAGTAGACATACTTTTAAAACATACCCAATAAGTAGCCTAAGAAGGTACACGTTYATGTGTATCAGTACATATCTGTTGCTGTGGGTGAGAATTCTCCTTTACTGTGACCTTGAAAACCTGTTTACTATGAAATAATGTTGTTCAAAGATAAATATTTTAAGGCTGGGGCTGTAGTTCAGTGGCAGAGCGCTTGCTTAGCATGTGTGAGGCACTAGGTTGGATCCTCAGCACCGCATACAAATAAAATAAAACCATACATAACTACAAAAGAATTTTTTTAAAGAAATGTTTTAAATTGTTTAAAGTAGAATAAAATTATTATTATTAGTCATTATTCCTCACTTTATGCAAAAGTTGGTCATGAAAATGTCTTTCAAGTTACCTCTCCTCCTCTGCAAACCTTCAGCAGTCTTCCTGAGCTTCTTTCGGGCACTAACCAGCTGGCTGCTATCGAAAAGGTGTGCTGAGGGGGCRCTGGCAGACTTCGGGATCCTCTTCTCATTCCCCTCCTTTCTAGGCAGACCTTTCTCCAGTGTCTCCGGGTTGGCAGTGTTGTCCTTTGCAACAGGCAGAGGGGGAGGAGGGGGAGGGGGAGGGGGTGGTGGGGGTGGAGCGGGTGTAGGAGGGAGAGGTGGTGGGAGTGGATCTGTGCTAACAGAACATGGTTCGAGGTCACTGCTATTCAAAAGTGGAAGAGATGCAGTGGGAGGCAGTTCGGAGGTAACACCACTGAGAGGTAATGAAGTGGCTTCAAGTTGTGCTAATGAATTATCTTCAAGTTGTGAAAGGCGCTGGGATTCTGTTGTCTGTGATGACCCAAGCTGKCCTCTTCCTTCTCCCACCTCTTCAGTTTTTCCCTCTACCTGCAACACCCCTGGTAGAGAGTCACAWGGATCCTCATGGGGCACAGGACTTGCTGCACTTTTTCTTCTCGCATGAGCCAGTCGTAATCTGGTTGATTTAAGTATGACTTGCCCAGGGTACCTCTAAAATAACAAAATTATTATAACTGGTTGTATTACATTAAAACAATTTATGTATGTCCTTAYACTGAAGATATTTTTGGCTCTTTTGTGACTTTTCAGGGAAAAAAAAAATCCAGAATACTAGAATGACAATGCCTAATACCTCCTCAAACTATTATCATCAGCTAGTCTTAACTATTTAAGAAGCCAACTGTTCAAAATTATTGCATTTAAAAAAATATTTAATATGCTACTGTTATGCAGAAAGCTAAAAACCTATTAGTTTCCTGTACGTTTTTCAATGCTTGTGGATTAGAAAATTTGAAACTTCTTTTACTGATTGTTTATGTAGCGTAATAAAACCTCTGATAATAATATATTCATTTTGACCTGTGAAGGAGAGGAATAAAATCTTTTGCATTATTGATTAATACAGAGAAGTCTCATTATAAATCACTTATTGCATGAAAACCTAATATTAATAACACTTGTTAAGAAAATATTTACTTAATGCAAGTCTTATCCTCTTATAAAGGATGCCCTCACAGCACCCCATTTTTTTTACTGTACAACTAAGAGTTCACTTCACCTATAAGGTAGTTCCTTCAGTAGGGAGGAATTGAAGTAAAGCTTCAGAGCATTTCAAGGTTTAGACACTCTTTATATCTGTTCAGAGTCATGGCTTAGCCTGGCAAGGAACCTGCTCAAGAAATTCTCCTATATATAGGTCCACTCTTCCATTCTCCAATGGTCATCGCCATACATTACCTTCATAGGTTGATATATGTGGAATCAGTAACAAGTTGATATTTGAGCTGGTTAGTCAGTTGTAAATTGGCTATTTTTATGAAATGCAAAGGGAATCCAGGTTTCCCAGAMACCCCAATCTTATACCACTCTTTGTGTACCAAAGATCACAAGAATATTTACTTTGGAAACAACCAAAAGAAAGGGGGCCATGATATCAAAACAGTTGTTGGGAAGGGGTGGGGGAAGAGAACTGCCATAGTTATATTTTAAAGAGATATGTGTATAGCTCTGTTTGAAAAGCAATGAAAAACAATAAATGGGCCATACTTTCCATTACCTGTTTAAATGTTCGAAGTCTATCCAGCGTTCTCTGTCTCTCCTGACTAACCCAGGCACTTTTTCTTTCCTCTTCATCATGCACTTTTTCTCTCTTCTGGTAAAAAAATAATTCCATAAGTCCATTATGTTGTGTCCCATTCATTTTTGCCATTAATAGAGAAAACACACATGCACACAATGTTCTCCCAATATGTAAAATACATGACTTAAGAGAACAAAATGTTCTATGACGTGCAGCCCTGTTTTTAAATAAAAGTCASTGTTTTAAAATTCATACTGATGATGAAGTAAAATCAAATCCCTGAACTATTTTTATCTTATGAGTTTTGAACTTAATTCAGTATAAAATAATCATTTCCACTATATTCTGTTAATTCAAATATAATTGACTTATTTTTAGAGACAAAGATTTACTTAGGAAAGCAGATATGTATACATTCAAGGGAGAATTCAGGCTATCTCCAGAGTGGACACCTCTGGGGCATTACAGCAATGGATACAAATTCAAGGGAGGATGTGAGCCTTTTCTAGAGGAAGCAACAGCCTATGACAGCCTATTTTTACCTCCCGAATTCTCAGATAGGCAGTTAATACTGTCAAATGGTTATCCTACCAAAAAGCACAGATGGAATGCAATTCCCACAAAATTCCAATGTAGTTCTTTATAGAAATAGAAAAAGGAGTCATGAAATTTATCTGGAAAAATAAGAGGCCCAGAATAGCCAAAGCAATCCTCAGAGTGAGAAAAACTAAGYAGGAGGCATCACAATCCCAGACCTTAAATAATTAAAGAGCTATATGAACAAAAATATCTTTGTTGTGGTGCATGGTATTAGGACCATAACAGACAAGAAGACYAATGGAACAAAATAGAAGACACAGAGACAAACCGACAAAAATAATTACTTCATAMTAGTCAAAGGTACTAAAGCCTATCACTTTAGAGATAAACCCAGCAACCAGTTAGTTGGCCATTTAGATATTATATGGTATTTTGATGAATATAACCAGCAGTTATACAAAATGCTTCCTGTTATGCATCAATTACTTGCCTTAATATCATACCTTATAGATGGCACTTACCTACATAGAAATTTTAAATTTTTCCCATATTGTTCAATCATATAAAACCTGTACAATAAAGTCTCATTTGCTAGAATATATTTTAGTCAAGCAAATGATAGGTTATGACTTTGTTTTCCTGCTCAGATAATCAATTTCACATAGAAAAATCAACTTTTCATTCTTCTAAAAATGTTCTTTTCGAATACAAACCTTCACTATGCTTTTTATTTTGTCCCCTCACTCCTTTATTCCCACCAGATAATAATATTTTATTATGTTCCCCCAAACAGAGTTGGGGATGTCGGTCAGTGGCACAGCACCCCTGAATTCAATCACCAGTAACAGGGGTGGGGGTGGGGGATGGAGGTGACACCAAGAATAAAATAAAGACCTCTCCTACTTCCTTTTAATTCCTTAAATGTGAGAGGGAAGAATAAAGGTAACTCTGAATGAAGGWAACTGAAAGAGATGTGATAGGCTAATTACTTTGAATAAAATGTTATGAAAAACATGATTCTTACATAACAAAATTTGATATTATTTAAATATAAGAATACAATAAAATCTGAAATAAATTAGCATGTACCCAAATTAAGAGGTATAAGATAAACAACAAAAAAAAATCAAAACACAACAAAAACCCACATCAATAAAAATGGAAAATGTTTTCAGGGCAATGACTATTATTCTTGAGACCATTTCAGTGACTACTATTAGTATAATTATAAATTGAATGCCCATAAAGTATGGGCAGAAAACCTTCTAGYTAAGGGATAGTAAAGGCAGTCTCGGGGATCTTTCTTACTTCCTTGAAACCTAAGGGTGGGGGGTAATTTGAGACAAAAATGCTAGCTAGCTTCAAATAAAACAAGGTGATATTTTATTAACTGCAAGCTACATATTATGATATATACCTGCTACATAAAAAAATTATAACAATAAGGATCAATATTTTTTAAATTAYATTACTTTTTAGTTTTTAATGAGTTTTTATTTATTTATTCATTTATATGTGGTTCTCAAACATGCTAGGCAAGCAAGCATCTAACACTGAGCTACAACCCCAGCTCAAATATCAATATTGACAGTCATCTTCAGACCTCTGATTTAAGACAGAATTCTCTAAAAAAATAAATCACTACAGAAAAGCCATCACTTTCATTGATGATAAAACGGGGGGGAATATAGACGGGTCATAAGATGAAGATGTTCCTCTGAATATCTGAATCCTTATCACAGAATAAATACTATCATCGATGTAACTGGAGGAGAAAAAAAAAGATAAAATATTATCTTCATGTTCAATAAGCCCTCTCTGCTGAAGGGAAACAGCAGGTTGKGAGATAGGGCAAAGGAAGAAACAATTCCAAATATCAACTGAGATACCCTGTGATGTAAGGGCTTTCCATAAGTCCCACAGGAGAACCTCAAGGGCCTCACAGAAAACCTGATGCACAATCATCACCTAGTAAAGTACTAGACTTCAGAATAAAGAAAAATTCCTTTGSGTACCAGATAGAAAAATCACATTCCTATGAGGTGGAGAGGGCCTCAGACCTCTTCATTACAACATTCAATGCTACAATATAGTGTGGCAGTATTTCCAAAAATTTGTTGGAGGAGGAAATGCCCACATGATCCACCAAGAGTGTCCTTTATATATAAAGGATATAAACAGGCATTCCCAATACATGCAAGAAMTCAGAAGGTAAAACTTTCCCAAAATAGCACCTTAAATGAAATCTAACCAACTCCAAGGTGAACAAAAATAAACTCAGAAACAAAAAGCTGATAAGAACCCAATAAGCACTAAACTTAGATATAAAATTGAATCTAAAACAACTGAGAATCATGAGTAAATAACAAGAATTTAAAAGTTATCTAATATTTTTACATTGCGAAGGGCATTTTGGATGTTGGAAGAAAGGAGTTGGGGAAAAGTAGGAGTCAAATGATTTCTTTATCTTTCACAGCATGAGTCTGATGCTGAAAAAACAATTTTTTTAGCATCAATTTTTTTTAGCATCAGACTCATGCTGTGAAAGATATCCTAACAATCTTTCTCTGAATGTTTTCAAGAAATCTGTGTAAATCCTAATAATTTGTTCAAAAGTTCTCTTGTTAAAAGTAGTAYCAATTCTGAACTTGATTTTTTTCTTTATAACTGTAAACTTTATAACYTATAATGATCGTAGTATCTCTTCTATATACAATGAGAAGTTTTTAAAGTACAGGAATGATTGTTTCGAGAAACTGCTTTGCAAGCCACTAATTGCAACTGCTTATAATTAAAGGATTTCATATCAATGTATTGTTTTTAGGAAACTGAGAACAATGATTGGTCATGGCACCTATTGGAGCAGAGGAAGTTGACAAAGGCAACACAAAAAGAAGCCACATGAGCAAAAATCAAGCTATCAGTTTCCATGACCTACAGCTTAAAAGTATTTCATTTATGCTTTCAATAAGTAATAGCCACAAGTTATGAGAGTGATTATGTAAAACAAGAATGTAATTTTTTTAAAAGGAGAAAATTGACTGTTTCTTGACCACAATTTTTTTCTTGCACCTAATTTGAGTTAACAGTAATGGCAACAACAACAAATACAGTTGGGAATGTAGCTCAGTGGTAGAGTACTTGCCTAGCAAGTGTGAGCCCTCTCTCTTTTTTAGAGAGTTTACATCGAATACACACACACACACACACACACACACACACACACACACACACCCCTAATTTTGAAGCCCACAATGGTGGCATACACCTGTAGTCCTAGAATTTGAGAGGCTGAGACAGAGGGATCTTAAGTTTGAGGCAACCTGGGAAACTTAGTGAGACCCTATCTCAAAATAAAGAGTTGGGGATACAGCTTAGTTGTAGCAACACTAGCCCTGGGTTAGTTTCAACCCCCAGTCCAGGGAGGGAAGGGGTGGGGCACAGAACAGAAATCTAGCTTTGAAAAACAAGGATCTATTTTGATATAAGCCTGCTTTATTTTCCTTTAGTTATGCATGTAAGATGACAAGGTTGGTGAATGGATCCATCCATTATCTGACAATTAGGTATTTCACCTGAGGCTAGTATTAGGTCAAATTATAAGATGACATTTATCGCTGAGATTCTATTATGTATCAATTTCCCTCATTTTTACCCCTTTGTCCCACAAAACTCCTAAATAGTTAATTAGCCACTTCATCCAAAGGATCAGCTGCTTATCAGAAACCAAAACCTTCATATAAAAACAAAGAGGCTGTATGTATGGAATCTCAATAACCATGCYGATAACCCTTATTCACCTTTTTGGACCCTTGATCTTTAACTGTGCGAAAATGAGCTTAAAGGATTAACGGATAAATTTTAAGCCCTTTATGTCCATTGACATGATGCTAAATTTTTTTTTTTTTAATAAACATGCTCTTGGCAATCTAGGAATAGAAACTTTCTTGGCTTGATCAAGAACATTTTCCAAAAAATCTACAGATAACATCATACTTAATGGTAAGAAACTAGAGCTTTCTGTTAAGATAAGGAAGATGCCAGTATGTTCCCTCTCATTCCTCCCTTATAATATAATAATGGAATCATGAGCTAATGTAATAAGACAAGAAAATGAAATAAAAAGGAGATTGGGAAGGAAAAAAAACTACTTTGTTTACAGTTAAAATTATCCAAAAGAAAACTGATGAGAAAAATAACACTGGATTTAATTCCCAGCACAACACACACACACACACACACACACACACACACACACACACTATAGTAACTAATAGGTACAAGACACTTACTTTCTAATATACCATTGATGAACCAATTGGAGTTTCAAATCAGAACATAATACCATTACCACCCCTCCACACAAAGAAGTAGGTATAAACCTAACTATATAGTGCCATATATATATATATATGTGATTCACACAAATATAAACACACACACACACACACACAAGCGCTTTTATATAAGATCTAAATGAGGAAAACAAAAACAGATAAATAAAATTAAAGAATTAAATGGGGATATATTTCTTGTTTGTGGGCAGGAAAACTCAACACTTTTAATCAACCAGTTCAATGCAGTTCCACTCTAATCTCAGCAAGTTATTTTGTATCTGTCAAAAAGCTGATTCTGAACATTAAATGGAAAGACAAAAGACTTGATCAACAGAACAGTACAGAGGGCCTAAAATAGAACCACACAGAATCATGTATCTTTGACTAAGGGGTAAAGGCAATTCAATGAAACAAAGAAAAGAATTTTTTTTGTGTGGTACTGTAGATTGAACCCAGGGCCTTATTCAAATTAGGCAAGTGCTCTACCATTTTGTATCTCCAGTCYAAAGATAATCATTTAATTGGGGATATAGCTCAGTTGGCAGAGTACTTGCTTCGCATGCATAAGGCCCTGGGTTCAATCCCCAGTGCCCAGGAAAAGTAGGGGAAGTCAATGAAAATCATTTAAATAAATGGTACTAGAGTAACTGGACATACAMATGCAAAATAATGAATCCAGACACAACCTTATGTTGGTCACAAAAATTAACTCAAAGTGAATCACAGACCTCGAACTACAATGCAAAACCAAAAAAACGACAACAAGAGAAAATGACCTCAAGTTTGGTGAAGACTTTTTAGATGACTTACCTGATATAAAAGACATTACTAGTAAACTGGACTCTGCTAAATTTTTGAAAAGTTTTTAATCCCTGCTCTGGGTAGGAATGAGAATTCAAGCCACAAATTGGGAGAAAATATTTGTAGAAGACACAACGGATAAAGGACTGTTATCCAAAGAACTCTTAAAACTCAACAATAAAGAAGCACAAAGCCAATTAAAAACTGGCAAAACATTCTGATGCTAAAGAAGATATCCAGTTTGGAAAAAAAAGAAAACGGAAGATCTGCAGATGACAAATGGGCATATGAAAAGAYGCTTGACATCATGTCATTAGAGAACTATAAACTAAAACAATGATATACCAATACACACCTATTAGAATTCAAAACCCTGACAACAGAAGAAGCTTGAAAAGGGAATGAAACCACCTGAGCTCTCATTTATTGACCAGGGGAATGCAAACTGCTACAATCACTTTAGAGGATGGTTTGGTAGTTTCTTGCATGACTATATATACTATATATACTATATATACAATACTATCCAGAAACCAAACTCCTTGTTATTTACTCAAAGAGGCTGAATCTATGTGCACCAAAAGCCCTATATGGCCAGTTATAGTAGTCCCTGCTTGTAATCCCAGTGATTTGGGAGGCTAAGGCAGGAGGATTGAAAGTTGAAGCCAAGAGCCTCAGCAACTCAGTGAGACTATTTCTCAAAATACCACGCAGCCTCTGGGTTCAATCCCCAGTACTCCCTGTCCAACAAATAATAAAATCAAATTAAAACCCCTGCATGGGCTTTTAAATAGCTTTATTCATAACTTCCAGTGCTTGGAAACAACCAAGATAGTTCTCAGTAAATGAATGGATGAACACACTATAGTATATATTCATAAAATGTAGTAGTATCAAACACTAAAAATAAATGAGCCGTCAAGCCACAAAGACACAGAAAAACCTAAAATCCATATTACTACGAAACCAATCTGAATAGGCTCCATGTATGATTCTAACTGTATACACAAGATGGGTAACGAAAAAACTATGGCAGCAGTGAAATATCAATGATTATAAGGGTCTGGGGGCAGAGAGGGAAAGAACAGGTAGAATAAAGGGATTTTTCAGGATAGTGAAAAATCAACAATAAAAAAGCAGAAACCTAATTAAAAACTATTCTGTATGATACTATAAGAACAGATTCATGTCAATACCAATTTATAGTACGTAAACCACACAACACCAGGAAAAAAAACATAAGGTAAACAATGGTCTTTGGGCAATAATGATGTGTCAATGTTGATGTTGTTTTTGAGAATTTGACAAATGTACCACTGTGGTAGCAACAGAAGTTATGTGTTAGAGGTGTGGGGAGAAGGCACAGGTGGAAAGTGGAGCAGAGAGCAACTCTCCAGACTCACCACTCAAAAAGTATGCCCCCCACACACCATACACAACTGCTAATTTAGCAAAGCATGTTTATTAACCCAGCTACTCTAGAGGCTTGAGGACCACAAGTTCCAGGCCAACCAAGGCAACTTATCAAGACACTGTCTCCAAATAAATTAGAAAGGGTTATCTATGTAACTAGGTGGCCAAAAGCTTACCCAGCCATGTGTGAAGGCCTAGGTTCAATGCCCAGTATAGCAAAAACAGCCAAAAAAAAAAAAAAAAAAAACTCACTCTCAATTTGCATGCATATTTATATTCAAAATTTGTGAACTAATGCTAATATCKGTTATGAGATTCTCTATAGCCTTCATCCTCCTTGACACATAAAAATAAACCTTTGTAACAAGTCTCCAAGAGTCCAAACTTACTAGTTGTACCATGTGATGGGTTCTATATTCCTCTTCACTTTGAATGCGCTGTTGGAATTTTTCATTGTGTTTTGCAATACAAATTTCCTATAAATACATAAAATGTCTTTTAATAATTTAGAAAAGCCACACAAGGTTTATTTGATAAATTTTAATACATACCTACATAGCAAAGTACCAACTAAACCACCCATTATTTCTCACCTGAACCATTGAAATACGAGCCAAATAATAAGGATCTTACAAAAGACTCTTCTATTAAACTGTTAACTTTTCTAGASACTGTGTTGTCATTTTAAGAGAAGGGATGGGGCAAGGTGGAAGAGGATGTCCTTAGATCTCAAAGGTTTCTTTCAGTTATGAAGTCTATACAGCCAGAARATTCCTTCCAAGTCTCACTATATTCTTTAAACAGGTCTGAGCAAAAAAGAATATACAACTGTTGGCATAARTCTGTATTCTTGAGCTTTCTCTGATGAATTAAAGACCATGATTTTGTCCAGACTAGTTTAAACAATATCACGAGATCTGAATCTTCTAGTCATACTTGTTAAGAGTTGRAAAAGACCTTAAAAACTAGAAATGCCCTATAATCCAAATGACAACTTTTTGGCAGCATCAAGTCTAATCTTCATTAACTGTACGTCCTTAATGTAACTATCCTTAAAAGAAATTTTCTAGGTAAAAAGGCTAACTATTAATATTAGTTTCTAGTATTCTCAAAGCTCTACCAAAATGATCACTCTTTCATTTTAAAAAAGTCATGAGGCACTGGGTTTGATCCTCAGCACCACATAAAAATAAATAAAATAAAGATATTCTGTCCATGTATAATTATATAAAAAAAAGAATTTTAAAGTATTTTGCCCATCTACAACTAAAAARGAAAGTCATAATGACTTTGAAAGTCATTAATATTTTAAAGCAGATGTTTACAACACTGTATTCTTAGCCTGCTCTGGTTCACTCTACTAACAAAAATCTGTCCAGTGCAGTTGAGAAAATAAAGGTAGCATCATATAATCTCATTACAGAATGATATAGTGACTCAGACTTTGAAGTCACACAAACATAGGACAAAATCGTACACCTCTGCCCCATTCTAGCTGCTTATCCTTCTGTGATTTAATAATTACTAGAACTTTCACACCCTTGATTATTATATGAGGATATAAGTTTACAATCCCTTATTCAGAACTGAAGTCAGATGTGTTCTGAGATTCACATTTCTTTTTCATATTTTAGAAGGTTGTTACTTCTCACATCATCCAATAACTTGGGMAAGATCTGAGGGAATATCCTGTAATAAGTAATATTAATATTTTTGCAGTGACATATATGAATAGTCAAAGTGGTAAAATTAAGATAATAAAATAACTTCATGTTAGTTCAGGTGTGGTTCTGCGACCAAATGTATTGAAATAAATATTAAAGTATTAAAATATTTAATAAATATTAAATGAATATTAAATATAAATAAATAATAAATATTAAAGTATTAAAATACGGCCGATTTTCTAGGCTTTCTAGAATTCAGACAAGGGATTACCTCATCTGGCTCATTAGGGTGAATTAAAGACGAAATATACAGAGAATAGTATTACTTCTATTACCTGGAATATTTACACACAAAACAACTTGAAGACTTCAGGGAAAAGGACAGGATTTGCTTAGAAGCACAACTACTGTCAGTATGTAATCCTATTATGAGTGTCAGGTACACTAAGTAGCCAGGAGCCAATGCTTCTTACCACATGACATTCTTAAGAGAATAATGGATGGTGTTCCACAGGGAGACATCTATTTTTAAAATCTTTTTTTTTTTTGTCATATATTTGATACAATGGTTTTCTTCTTAGGATTTAGTATTTCCAGTTTCCTTTATTTTCAGCATTCTTGTCACTCCTCCCTCCTGCTGCAGACCTGGCAACCGCAGTTGGTGGAATTGGGGGGCAGGGTGCAAATGTAAAAGGAAAGTTTCTCCAATAGTGGATTCCCCTATCTTAAATTTAGATTTATATAAGAACAGAGTGAAGAATATTGATTGACATGAATTAATAGGCTTCAATAAGGAAATAGCTGAAAGGAAAGTTCAGTCTGATTCAGATTCTGATTTACTTTTCGCATGTGATGCAACTCTCCCCCAAAAAAACTAAACATAAGACCCCAACAGCCTCTAATACTAAATATCAGAGCTCCCCCAATTCTTATTCCCTTTGGCCTTTGKAGGGCACCTGATACTGCTGACCACCCTGCTTTGAGGAATCATATTCTCTTTTGCACCATCTCCTGCTTCTTCTCCCTCAGACTTCTCTTTCTCTTTGACCCTTTCTTGTGTACAAAGTCTCAAACTTTCTGCAGGACTCTTTCCAAAGAGCCTCTCTTCTCACAATACACCGGGGCCTTCTTTGTTCAATTTTCATAACCCATGCCCTTTACAATGTCTTCTCACCCCTAGGCAAAAATGTTTTGCTAACTTTTGCTTTTGGAATTATAAAAATACTAAGTACATGCAAGATTTTTTTTTTAAACTAATCTGTTCTATCACCTTTCCTTTGCACCTCCTCAACAGCTCTCCATCTCGATCACTGATAAAATCACCTACTCAATATATGGAACCCAGAGGCCCAACAGTTTCATGGCCATCTCCACCTGAAACTTGGATCATTACCTGTAAGGCATTTGTGTTTTTCCCTTGGCAGTCCATTGTGATAGATGGAACCTCTATCCATCCAAATGCCCAATTTAGAAGCCTGAGATAGAGAATAGCTCCTCTATTCTTCATTATAAACCATTAAATCTTATTGACTTTCTACTTCTGGAAAGGGTTAGAATTGGACACTTCTCAGATTTTCTATTCCTTACTATCTATACTACCCACCACTACCTCAGCTCATACTCTTAACATTCCAACCCCACAAAGTTGAGGATAATGATAATCTCCAACCAGAACCTTTTAGTGCTCACTGTAACTTATTTTCATTTTGCCTTACCTTTATAAAACACAAATCTGTATATATTATCCTTTACTTAAAACTTTGCAATCATTTGCATTACCTTCAGAATCTGCTCAGGCCTATTAATGTGGTTCAGAAAACTTCCCATAATCTGGTCCCTGTAGCACACTTACACATACAGTCCCCTGACTAGCCATGCTCTTATGCTTCAGTGTCATTTTTTTGGGCTTGGAATTATACCCCCACACCAACCATTTGGAAAATTTCTATTCAGATGTTAAAACCTAATGCAAAGGGCTGGGAAAATAGCTCAGCTGGTAGAGTGCTTGCCTCCGCACACAAAACCCTGGGTTCAATCCCCAACACCACAAAACAAAAACCTAATKCAAGTACCACTTCTTACAAGAAGCCTTTCTTTGCTGCCTTTATTTGCTCTCTTGTTATYTGGCATGCTTACCTGGTCATCTGGTTGGCCTTCTATAAAACTAGGAAGAACAGAGACTATGCCTTGCTCATCGTTGTGCATAGCACAATGTTGAATTAAAATGAACCAGACTATTAACTAAGTCTGAATTATACAACATTTTTAAAAAATGCTTTCAAAAATGTTCAAGTTCATAAACTCCCACCAAGTCTTTAAGTTACTTTACCAGACAGCTGAAACTAATATTATAAAAGAGTGTTTCTGATATTCGTAAAAAGGTTTTCTTCCACATCCTATTTACATTTCATTYTCCAGAGACATTGATAGAATGTGTTAGTATCACTGCAATGTTGACCTAAYTGGCATGGAATAGAACTTAAAGCCTGTAACCATCAGGCTCACAGCTGAGACAATAAGTGGGTTTCAATGACCACTATTGTCATGGAAAAAGAAAAATGCACAGTTTTCTGTCAGTTAGGAGAAAACCATTGCCCTGASTGCTGAGGTAACTGTTCTGAGAGTAGACAAAACGATAGAAGGTTACTGACATACTGTGGAAAGATGTATGCCTGGGTTTCTTTAATGTATACAAGCCATCTATTACAAAAAGCAGAAGTCTTTGCATATCTGTGAGATGAGGAAGTGGAAGCTCTGAAATCTGGTTAAGAGCAGAAAGCAGACTCTCAAAGAACATGTCATACTTTTGCCTGTGTATCTGAGCTCAAAGCAGTCAGTACCACAGGGTTATCACACTGGTCCAGGCCTTAAAACTTGTTCCAGATTCAAAACCCACATTCAGTGCCTAGAAACCACCCTATGATAGTAACCTCTGGACTAGAAAGCAAATCATTTTCGAAGTCATAAAAAGAAAATACATTTTCACATATGGAATTACTTAAAATATCAAGAATGATCAAAGATTTTGAAATGTAATTCAAGTTAAAAAAAATAATAACAATCTAAMAATTTCTTTAGAATGAAGTCAGAATCAGGACTTGTAGTTCATTACCAGCTCCCCTTAAATAGAGGAGCTAGGAACTGCACTACATAGGACCTTGGAGCACATCACTTAGCATAGTTACCTCCAGCAGGTGAAGAGTCATCATCATTGGCTGTTTGAACATATTTTAAGAGGGTAATTTTCAGAGAAATGTGTCTAAAATAATGAACTGAGTTATGAGAAGAGATAATGTTTAGCTTTTAAATACAAAAAAAATTAGTGATAAATCATGTTAGAATTATGAGATATGAATCAAGGACTAAGTAATGAAGCAAGATTTCAATACCTTTTTATTTCTGAGGTAGGCTTTCTTGGCTGAGACACGTCCCCGTCTTGCTTCCAGCTGGCGTGCTTTCTGCTGTAGTTTCTGCAGCTCTTCCCTCTGTGCATGCACAGAGGCTGCCATTTCTTCCTTCTCTAGCATGGCCTCCATGCTTTCATAAGTGTCATAGTAAACTACTTCATCTCTCTTTTCTGTGACAGAACAACAACAAGGGGTCACAGTAAAAGCACAWGGGTCGTGAGGCCTGACAGAACAGAATTTGGTGCCACCTACTAGCTCTGTGACTTCAAAGCTAATACTTCTTGTGCTTCTCTGCAAAATGGTGATTAAATGGAAATGCACCTCATAGACTGAATGTATGCAAAATGTGCAGTGTCTGGCTCACAATGAGTGCTCCATAATCTACACTTCCCTCCCAGCTCAACTCCTGCAAAACTGTGAATTTTTGAAAATACAGGTTTTGACTGAAGTATCCTTTACAAAATCAGTATTTCACAAAGATAACCAAAGCCAACATAGAGTTGCACTGTTCAGTCTACCGAACAATTGTTTGACTTCAGAGATTCCTTTAAAACATTTCTTTTGTGTCTGGATGTTTTAAAAAGTCTYAGCAAAGAAACATAGCTGGCATCCACATACATTTTCTTCACATATTGAGTCTTCTATGGACTTACTGTGTGTGCATCATACCTGATATWAGTCTTTTGATACTTTCCAGTTGTGCTGTCAACAGTAACTCTTCACACTTTAAGATTTCAAACTGTACTTCATACAACTGAAGCTGCAGATCATAATAATCAGCTTCTAACTGATCCAATCGAGCTATGGCTTCTGTACCACCCTGCAAACTTTGCATCTGTGATGAAAATAAAAACACTTTAGTTAGTGGAGACAATAAAACAAATAAAGGCATAACTAGAAATCAGTTCTAGTGATGAACAGGATAAATTCACAACACATTCACTCTAAGAAAGAAACTTATATGTAAGAAATTCAGAGTTTTGTGCAAGGTGTGGTGGTGCAAGCCTTTAGTCCCAGCTCCTTGGGAAGCTGGGGCAGGGGGATAGCTTGAACCAGGAGTTCCAGGCCAGCGTGGGCAACATAGGGAGACTCCCACCTCAAAGAGGGCAGGGGCTGTGGTGTAACTCAATGGTAGATTGTATGCCTGGCATATGTGAGGCCCTATATTTATAGCCAGTGCTATAAATGGAGGAGGGGTCACCCCCCTGACTGATCAATCCAGACTTTAAAAAAATATGAATATATGAAACTACTGATAATCAAGTTAGAGCATATGGTTTTAGAAGAAGGCAAACATGGTAAAAATAAGTTTTAAAGTTTCTATCACAGCTCATTACCTTATTTAGGGTGATATACTGTTTTGAAATAAATGTTAATAGTATCCCTTCTTAATCTTGAAAGTAGATGCTAATTYATGAAGTTAGCCTTTTCATATAAAATATACGAAAAAGGCTAGACCATGCGTAGATATTTACAAGAGAGTGGTAAAAGTTGACTGATCCACATATCTGGGACTTTGCTTTGTCCCATGGTCACAGCCTGGCTTCTGAGACCTATAGGCTGGAGAGTAAAGTGAGAGCACATGAGTGGAACAACATCAAATAACTGCTTTAGATACTTTAGATTAAAAAACTATTGTTATGTATGGATAATGATTGGTATTGTTTTTAAGTAAATGCAGTCAGGGTCATAGACTCGACCTAAAATGGGATTCAGAAATTTCTGAGCATGGCTCATGGTGGATATTCTTACATAAGGTTTGTTTGTTTGGCTGGTTTTTTGGCCCAAGAGAGGGGTAGGTATGTATGTATGTATGTATGTATGTATGTATTTATTTATTTATAAAAATCAGGCACCAGAAGGAAACCACTAAGGGGAAAGCATTCTTAAGATACTGGTTCCTGATCCTATTATCTCCACAAATTCCTATTTAGCTATATGGAGAAGGCAGTTACAAGACAAAGCTGAAAAGGACAGCTTTTTAGGAGTCTGTGAGATATAAAATATACCACATTTCTGATTGTGAGACAGTAAGCATTTTTTTCAAGAATATTTCTTTTAGAACCAGAGCAACAAGCTTTGGCAGCTTAAGGTTCATTCTTAGAAGTCCCAAGAGGCCTCTGGTATAGGCATCATTATGCCCTGGAGGTATTGGCAGCATTGGTAAAGAGGCCCTGGTTTCAAATRACAGGGAATAACTACCAAAAGCAGAGTGAAAAGAATAGAAAGGAATATTAGAGAAATGTCTACAAATTTGCGTGAGGTATCACCTGGAGCCCCAGAATACCAGGGAAATACCTCTATCACAGCATAAKCTAGCAAGGACAGTGAAGTTTGTTGCTGATAAATAATCTCTTCTGTCTGGAAAAGTTGTTACAAACATGTTAGCACATAATGAGAGTATGTTGAAGATTCCAGCTTTTGTTTTACATTGTAGATATCCACACAGACATACCCAATGACTAGACTTTTTTTTTTTTTTTTGGGAGGGGGTGGGTATTGAGTATTAAACTCAGTGTTGCTCTACCAGTGAGCTTCAACATCCCAACCTTAAAAAAAATTTTTTTTGGGGGGAAGGACAGGGTCTCGCTAAGTTGCCCAGGCTGACCACAMACTTGTGATCCTCCTGCCTCAGCCTCCAAAGTCACTAGGACGATAGACATGCTCTACTATGCCTAGTTTCACAAGAATTTTTAAGTGAAAAGCAATAGTTAAGTTATGGCCTAAATGTACAGTAGTATATATTTAAAATAATCAGTTAATTTAAATCTATTACTTAATAAATTTTATAAATACTTTAGATAACATTATCTAAACTATTAGTTCAGTGAATGATCCTACTTGAATAGGAAATATTTTATAASTGACAAAAATAAATAACAAACCCAAAGTGGTTTTAATTATAGTGGCTAGGCAAGGAATGTTGACAATATGAAACCCTGTCATTTTCTTCTAAATTATCAAATAGGAACCTAGGCTCAGTTTATGCCTTAAAACTCGTGGACTCACTTTAAATAACACATCCCTTCATACTATTTTGGGGCTCCTGTCAGRATGTAGATTCCTCTATTACTCCACCCCACACTCTATTAACACAGCAGGCAAACAGGTAAACTACGTACGTTTTAAAATAAATTTTAGTAGATGGACCCAATACCTTTATTTTACTTGTTTTTACATGGTGCTGAGAATTGAACCCAATGCCTCATACGTGGGAGGCAAGTGCTCTACCACTGAGCCCAAGCCCCAGCACCAAAGCTATATAAACTTAAATATACAACAGCTTCTACCAATAATAGCTGCACAAATAGGAATGATACAAATTGACAGAATTATCTCAAATTCCACATATGAGAAATCTTGGGAAAATGAAAGTGTCTGTAATTACACTGATGTCAAACCTAATGTTACAAACTATTTGTAGGAAAACATGATCAGAATTGGTGTAAAGCTAGTTAAAGTCTTTATGTATTGTATTTGATATAACTGTATACTTCATTACTGGAATAACTGTCTTAAAGTTATTTGTTCTAATATTACTTTTTTAAAAATTCTATAACATATATTGGCCTCTGGAATTTAGATAATGGTTTATGTTCCTAGAACATACAAGGTTATGTTTTGAGAACAAATTCAAAACACTGAGGACAGGGCCTAAGACATTAAAAATTTTCTACTTACATTCTTTTTGTACCTAATGCCAAAATACAATTTAGGTGGAAGAAATGTTATTTAAGTAATATAAATTAAAATATTTAGAGTGGAATCTAGATTTGTGTGCTTCAAGTCTGAAATTTCTAGTGTGTAGATATGGAATAAATTACTGATAAATAAGTTAAAAATAAACAAGTCTCCTGCCTGGGTAAGGACCTCAGTTTCCTCACCTCTGCTCAGGCTGCATCCACCTTATCAGAACTTAATAAGGCTCATATGAATGCCACACCATTTTTCAATGGAATCCTTTGCCATTGAACCCTGAAGTATCTTTTATAGCAAGTAACAGATACTTTTGAAGCAGAGGAATTACATCTTTCTCTTCTTTATATTTTCCTTCACAAAACATTTAGTACTATTCCAAAATTAAAGTAATATTAACTTGTATTTATTGAGTTCTTACTCCGTGTCAGGCACTATGCTAAAGGCTTTATATATATTAACCCATGTAACCATAACAGAGAAGGTATATATTTATGTACATTTAAKATAGAGGTTAAGGAATTCACTCAAAAGTTACATAAAGAGTAAGCTTGCAGAATTAGGACCTACAGAGTTGTTTTGCTCAATATGGTAGCCACTGGCCTCATGCGAGGTTGTTTAAAATTCTCCTCCTCTGTTCATAAACCTCATATCAAGAGTTCATTTTGCCAAATGTGACTGAAAACTGCCCTACTGGAAGTGTAGTATAGAATATTTCCTTCATTGCAGGGCATTCTGTAGCACTGCCTAAATCTAAGCTCTTGCCTATAATAAGCGTTTAATATTTCACAAAATAAAATTGAAATGGGGACTATAAATTGAATTAATCATAATTTAGCTATATGCTTTTAAGAAGATTATGAAATACAGGAGTTCGCTTCAGGATTGGTATACTATAATCCACTCCATGTGTTGATTGTTCACAGAAATGATCTCAAGGACTTGCAAAAGGAAAAGCAGTGGTTAAAAATCATCTGCCAATGAAACAAAGTACAGTGGTACATTTTTAAAACTTTTTAACTGGAACAGTGGAATCCCTTTTCTGTTTTTCTTTATTAATCTTATTTGTTAACCAAAATTGAGAAATCTACCAGCTAAGTGAGATAAACTGCTTTCTATGATTGTTTACTGATAGCATCTTAATTTTAGCACCTTTTATTCCAAATTAATGAGAAATGAATACCTAATTTCAACATTAATATTCATCTTAACACCTCTAATGTATATGTTACTCCTATCATGCAATTTTATGTATTTTAATTTGGTCTGCTAGTTTAAATTAAAAAAGCATACTATATATGACGTAACCTGGATTAATAATACAAATCTGAAAGTAAAGATGTTACATAGTTAAATTATACTATTATTTTTGAATATGAATGGAGAGGGATTATACAGCTCAAAGACTAGAATAAAGTAGCTACAGMTAATTAAACTCAACCTAGATTCTTTCAAAAGTTTGCACTCAAAAGGCACTAATATTTTCAGTAGATTTCATAGGGCAAATCTGAACATCAAGATCAATCAGGGGCTGGGGTGTGGATCAGTGGTGGATGCTTTACCAGCACACATGAGGCCTCAGATCCAATGCCTTATGTTAGGSAAATGCTCTACCACTGACCCACAACAACAGCCAACATTCAAATTATGAAAGGGACAGGAATCCATGAACTTTAAAAAAAAAAGAGTAAGACTGACTGTTTTCAGATTCTGAAACAAAGGGAGACACAATTGAAAGGAAGTACTTACTTTGTTTTTCAGTTCTGGGTATTGAACCCAGGGATCTGAGAATGCYAGGCAAGTGTTCTACCACTGAGATACATCCCTAACCTTWTCTAATTTGAGAAAGCCCTTATTAAATTGTCAAGACTGACCTTGAACTTGTGATTCTCTTACTTTGCCTCTGGAGAACCTGAGGTTACAGCATTGTGCCATTGGGCCAGGTTGTACTTACTCTTTAACTCTATTAAAATAATTTAAAGTYAAATAGATTGTTGTTTGTCTATGYTATTTTTAATATTTCAGTATTTAGAAAATTTATTTCAGGTTCAGCATTAGACTCATAGTAAATATTTTTAAATGTAATTTATAATTTCATAGTTTCCATTTTGTCACATCAGGAAGGTTTTTTTTGTTGTG